GAAGGATCTGTGTTCAAGATTGCTCTCTCATGTGACTGGCAAGTTGGTACTGGCTGGCTGCTAGCTGCTGTCTGGAAGCTCAGGCAGGGCTTGGGGCAACAGCCTTTGTGCCTCTCCATGTAGACCTGTCCATGTGATCTGAGCTTGTTCACAGCATGATAGCTGGGCTCCAAGAACAACCATTCCCAGAGAGAGGGCCAGGCAGAAGCATCATCACATCTTTTGACCTACTAGTATATGGCAGAAACATCACATGGAATAACTTTTGTTCCACGCTATTAGTTAAGGCAGTCTCAAAGGTCTGCCTAAGTTGATTCCACCTTTTGATGGGGAATTGGCAAGGTTCTGGAAGAGTACATGGGACAGGAAATGTAGTTACAGCATTTTAGCAAATAGTCTGCCACATCTACTTTTCCAGACTTGCACATCCCAACTCCTCAGCCCCCTTTTCCAACAGAACCACCATTCCCTAGGTCAGTGGTTCTCAACTGGGGGTCATTTCCCCACCCAGGAAACATTTGGTGAAGCCTGAAGACATTTTTCATGGTCACAACTGGTGGCTGAGTGCTATCAGCATCTAGTGGGTAGAGGTTCAGGGATGCTGCTAAACATCCTATGGTATACTTGACAATTCCCCACAACATAGAATTATCCATCCCAAAATGTCAACAGTCTCAAGGTTGGGAAATCTTGCCTCAGACTAAGTAAGGGCCATTTGATTAATCCTATTTCATCCCAAACTGCGCTATGCTTTTTGTGAATTATCTCCAAATAGAAATTGGTTGAGAGTAGGCTCTTTGTGGCAATGTATCTGCATATCTGTTGGATGCTCTGAAGATACTGAGATCATATTATCGTTTTAGTGTCAAACCCATTATATTCAATTACTATGTTGAATTATAGGTATCTTGTCTCAGTCAGGAAAAGGTATGAATCAATATTCTAGAATCAATGCAGCATAAATGACTATCCAAACACTGGCCATTTACTGCCAGGAAAAAATGAGGCAAAAGCCAAGCAGGGGGCATGAGAAGCACTGCAGTGTTTCCCTGGTTGCTCACTTAACTCTTCCTGGCAGCCCATGTCAAACAGCAATTCACAGCAAATATCTGGCCTCTGATTAGAATTCCTATGAGCTCACCTTCTTCCTTCTGGTTCCAAACTTGTCCCCACATTGACTTCTCTTTTCCCATTTAGCTGCACTGGAATTTGTTAACCAAGTTTCAAGCAACATATGTCGGGACTGATGAGGCAATCCCAGAGATGGTTTCTCTGGCATTTCAGGTGCACACATCACAGGCACTTATCTGGGACACTGACCCCTCAGACCCGCCCAGGATCCCAGGTACCCACAGCCTGTCTTCCTATCCAGGAAGAAAGACTGACCAAACAGGTAGAAGGTTCCAACACAGGAGCAGGTGGTCACATCTTTATCCATACAACTACAAAAACCATGTGCCGTAAATGATCAGAGCAGGGGGCAATTCAAAGTCATCTACACTTGATTTGGAATGCATGATGATGTTATAAAAGAGTTTATATTCTTAATTATGTTGAACCAATAATTAAATTTCAGTTTCTTTCCTAGAGCGGACACTATGGGTAGTGAGATCTGCAAACATGTATAGAAAATAGAATTGAGAAAGAGAAAATATTTTAATAATCTTTACCCCAGATAATCCACCAAGTTGCTAATAATCATGCTACAAAGAGTTGGCATTCCCTATAAATATGTAAGTACTCCAAGAATTTTACAGTCCCTCAAGTCAGAAACCCTTGAGAGCATGCAGGAAGCTAGCCATTTAAAGTGAAACAATTTTGTATAATGCTTAAGAGCTGAATTCTAATACCAGTTCTTTCAGTTACTAACTGACTTAAGGTTCTGGTACTTCAAGCCAGTTTCTTGGGATGATATTTTTAAAGCCCTGTCACTATAATACCACTGAATTCTGGGCAAATTGAAAAAGAAAAACAAACTTTTTAGTCCATTAATTCATTTCCAAGAAAGAAAGAAAAATTCCCCACTGCCAAATAATAATAATAATAACAAAGGTGCCATCTGCAGAAGTAGTGAGTAGTCAGCACTCTGGAAGGCTGGAGTTGTGCTTGTGGCAAATGTCAATACCCCAGGCCAGGAGATGGGAGACTGCAGCCACATAAGTCTGGGAGCTGGACCTGAGACTTTTGAAGTAAGCCAAAAGTGTCTACACCCTTAGTGAAAAGTTGGGCTCCAAATAATCATCAGCAAAGGAAGCCTCGCAGAAACCTAATTTGTCTCCACAAAGGTTCTAGGTGAAAAAAGATTACTAAGAATAATAACAATAATAATGATCTCCCCAAGAATTAAAAACATCCTTTCACTTGCATCTAGAAAAAGGTTAAAAGCTAAAGATCTAAAAATACAGCCTAATCATCTAGAAAAACAATACAACAAAATAAATACCAAGGCACAGATGATGTATACACGTATATAAATACACACACATTCCTAATGACTAGGGACAGTTAAAAGAAGTTCCTTTAAAGAATAGTATGGACTCTGGAGTCAGACCATTTGGATTCAAATTCCAAATCTGCTATTTGCCACCTGTGTGAACTTATATGAGTTTTGGTTTTTTTTTAAGCACGTCCTTTAGTTTCATTATCTGTAAATGGAATAATGATACTGTCTACCTCATGGGTTATTGTGAAGATTAAATAAATATATCTAAAACCCTTAGATCCTACATAGTAAATGCTATATGAGTTCATTATTAATGTTGCCATTACCACTTCTATTCCACATTGTCCCACAGACCTAGATAGCATCTCAGGACAAGAAAAGATGTCATTATTCACATATGATATGGCTGCTTTCACAGATCATTCAAAGAGTAAGTGAAAATTTATTAGAATTAATTTAATGTATTTATTATTATAGAATTAATATAAATTTATTAGAATTTAAAAGAGAGCTTACCATAATGGCTAGCTATAAGCATTATACAAATGGCATTGATAACTGTTAGAAAATTCAATCCAGCAATGTACATTAAAAATATTATCCATGACCAAGTTCAGTCTAACTCAGAAATACAGTTTTACTATGATAAATGATTTCACCTATATGAATTATAAATATTTATTTTTATAAGGTATCAAGTTTGGGAAATATGTCTTAGATAATTGTGGGAATTCATTAAACACAGCCTGGAGTTAATGATGGCTCATAATTGTATTTATTGTTAATCACCTCAAAATGAAATTAACTCAGTTAATTCCTTCTTTTCCTCTCTCCCATTAGACTGAAATAGCATCTTGGTCTATGTTCTTCCCACTGCAGCTATACAGAAGGGCACAAATTATATAAACATGCTTCATGTTCTTTCAAAATCTTTGACTCATGCTTGCTCTTCAACACTTTTAACCACAATGTCACACTGCCTCATCAGATTAGACTACTTAACTTCCCAAGGTTCTTTCCACACCATAAACTAGCTTATTCATATAACTATAAAACTACTAATGTATCCCAGGAATCATATCTCAGGAAATATTAAAGATAACATTCTTCAGAATTTAAAAATGAAATAAAATAAAAGAAGACCATTCACAGACAAATAATGGTAGTGTCCCATGAACTAAGGTCTGTGATTAATCTGCATTTGTACTATAAAAAATAGAGACATTTTAATGAGACCATAAAAATAAACTAAAATGAAAGAATGATTAATTGTAAGAAAACATTTTATAATACTTTATTTAATCAAAATTACACTAAAAAATTGTATTTACCAAACTCCTTGGTAAACACGTCTGCTATATACTGCAACTTCATTATATTCGGTATCACAATGTTGATTATATGGTTAATATTATTAACATAGGACTTTCAACATTTTCATCCTTATTTAAAATCTTTAGTTCAAAACTATTAGCCTAGGGACGCCTGGGTGGCTCAGTCAGTTAAGTTCTGCCTTCAGTTCAGGTCATGATCCCATGGTCCTGGGATCGAGTCCCGCATCTGGCTCCTTGCTCAGTGGGGAGCTTGCTTCTCCCTCTGCCTGATGCTCCCCCTCCTTGTGTGCTCACTCTCTCTCCTCTCTCTCTCTGACAGATAAATAAATAAAATCCTTAAAAAAAACTATTACCCTATATTACTCATATATACACCATTGAGTCCCGAGATTAATAGTTAATTTTTCTACTTAGAGTGCCATTTCAAGCTTTATTACTTAGGGGCTTACTGTAAGACAGAACTTTTGAGGTCCCTTAAAATTACTAAGGGATTCTAGAACAGTAGTAAAATTACATCCACATTAACAGTCTGACACATGCATAGCTTTTCCCCTACACACAACTAAAAAACAAAAGTAAAATATAAGCCAAAATACAATTTCTAACATAATAAATGCAAATGCTGGTTATCAGAATGGACATACTATTTGCATCTCAGTGGCCATCCTAATCAATACAGGACTTTACGAATATAATAATGTTAGCATTAACCCTTGCCTAGTTTCAAATTGCCACACTGTACAAACATTTTGGGGAACATAAAGGTTTGTTAACTTGGTATGCATATTAGTAATTTCTATTTATCCATCTCATTCAGATCAGCTTTAAAATGTAAATATATTAATAACTATTGCAGGTTGATTTGAAGAATATCTAATTGAAAAAGCTAACCTCAAAAGACTTAAAAAGAAAACTGAGAACCAATATGCAAATTAGTTTTTAAAAAAGGACAATTAATAGAAATTAATCATTTGGAAAATGATTACTTCACCCATGTATTTAAATTATTGAAGGGAAAAAACATTTGGGGCTAAAGTTTCTTATTGTTTCTTTATAAATCAAACCATAATATAATGCCTGTTCCTATACTCATTTTAAATGTTTTTGGATCAATAGTTTAAACTCAATAAGAATATACTAAAAAATGTATAAGGCAGGTAATCTTGAAACAGAAATAGATCATTTCAGATGATTAGAAGATGAAAAGTGGCAACAACATTTACCAGTTGCTTCCTCTTGTATTTTAGGTTGATGATTTATTTGCATTTCTGCAAAAATAAAAGTGAAGTGCAGTTAATAATAGATCTGAGACATTATAAGTGGGAGAGAAAGAAGTGTGAGTTAACTCTTTAATGGTAGCATGGGGCACTTGGGTGGCTCAGATGGTTGTGTCTGCTTTTGGTTCAGGTCATGATCTCAGGGTCCTGGGATCAAGTCCCACATCAGGCTCCCCGCTCAGTAGGGAATCTGTGTCTTCCTCTGCTCCTCCCCCCCACACTTATACTCTCTCTCTCAAATAAATAAATAAAATCTTTAAAAAAATACTTTAATGGTAGCAAATCCTTAGGCTTATTTTTAACCTACAGTAGGGCATATAATGTTGCCAAGACACATCTTTACACCTGCTTTTATTTTCACTGTGAGGAATAATGATAAATCTGATGCAAAGGTTAAACTATCAAAAGGGACATTCTGGGGGCAAATGGCGAATGTTCCATGACACCCAGTTGTATCAAAATCATCTCATAATATTCCATTGTGTGTGTGTGTGTGTGTGTGTATATACCACATCTTCTTTATCTATTCATCAGTTAATGAACACTTGGGCTGTTTCCATAAAGAGAGAGAGAGAGAGAGACAAACCAAGAAACAGACTCTTAACTATAGAGAACAAACTGATGGTTACCAGAGAGGTGATGGGTAGGGGGAATGGGTTAAGTAGGTGGGGGTTAAGTAAGTGGTGGGGATTAAGGAGCGCACTTGCTATGATGAGCACCAAGTGATGTATGGAAGTGTTGAATCACTATACTGTACATCTGAAACTAATATTATACTGTATGTTAACTAAACAGAACTTAAATAAAACCTTTAAAAAATCATCTTGTATTCTACTGAAGATTTCATTAATCCTCACCTTGAAGATAAAGTTCAATTTCTGAATGAATTATGCCCTGAGACATAAAGGGAAGCCATCTGAGGAAAAGAGAGAAAAAAGAGAGAAGAAAAAAGAAGAGAAAATTAATTTTTGCTTTTCTCAATTTTTACAATAAGCTCAATTCTGCACTAATTTTGAACATTAAAAGGTAACTATAAAAATAGCTTTTTATAAAGTCAAACAATCCAATTTACTGTGAACTCATGATTGTGGTAGGAATGATGTCATAACTCTGGCTTGAATAATAAAACACATAAACTACTAAACCTGCTAACCATCTACCTCTCCAAATTCATCAGTCCTCAGTCACTAACACTCATAAATGTACCTGGGTTTCCAGCAGAGCACTGCCTTACCAAGCTGTAATGAGGCAAGGGCTGGTCTCAGACTTTGAGCCTGATACCTGGGCTAGGCTAGAAAGTGTCACCCACCTGTTGGCACAGAAAAATAAGTTCCCTCATTTTAATACATCCTCTACAGAGGTCTCTACCTTGCTTTCACATAACTTCCTTTAATATCTCTTCCTCAGTGTCTCCAAAATAGTGGTAGTACCTTAAAATTTGATGAAAATATTACCACCTTGGAAAATGTGCTTATGCTAAGTAGTAGCTCATCCTGGCAGTTTCCCTCTAAATCAGCCAAACTTCTGTGTTAGAAGCTCCATGTTGTAGAAAAAGCCAAGGCTGAACTCAGAAAACCAATGTTATCACTTTCAGCTTTAGGATATTACCCTCTTGAAGCTTCGTTTCCTTGACTAAATTATCTCCTTACAGAGTTGCTGTGAAGTTGAAATGAATAGTCACGTGGTACATAAATGTTAGTATTATATCACAATAAACAGTTATTGTTATCCCATATTCAAACACACTTCCATTCCTTCTATCCATCCATCCATCCATCCATCCATCCATCCATCCATCCATCCATATATTCAATAAACATTTAGAAAATGCCTTCTGTGTGCCAGGCCCTTTGCTAAGTGCTGGGGATTCGGGAAGAACAGTAGAGACCAGGAACCTGAGCTGAAGGAGCTTTCAGTGTAAAATGCGGAAATAGATGTGTAAAGGTATAAATGTACAGAGTCGTAGGTGATATAAGAAATATTTACAGATATTGCAGGAACAGAAAGGAGACTGACCAACTCTGAATGGCAAGAATGAGGAAGTACAAAGGAATAAAGAACAAACAAATGTCAACAAAGAGGTGACACTTAATCCGAGGTTTGGGCAGTAGGTAAGATGTCTGTTAGGCAAACGAGAGATGGGAAGGGCATCACAGGGAGAAAAAATAGCATTGGTAAATGTACAGAGATGAGGTTCTACATGGATGAAGCACAGGAGGCTGCTGGGAAAGACTTGGGGGCAGGGTGGAGGACCCTGAGAGGAAGGACACTGAAGGGGAGGTCACTGGATCTGAGAATGTCAAGTGACTCAGGTGGAGCTATGGGATTTACTCCACCACAATAGCCTTGGAATCACCAGATGATGCTAATAGGTGGGGTATAAAGGTGAACTATGTCAGCTCATGCTGTTCTGCTCAGCTCTCAGGACAGTTCATCTCTCTATTTTTCAAAAGCTTTGAGAGATCCCATTTCCTTCTAACCACTTCTGCCCGTGCTTTGAAGTGTGCTATAGACAGGGAGGCCTTGAACAGTAAGGTTTGTACCAGAGGACCTGCCTCTTGTCCTAGCTGATTGGGGCAGATATGGACACCTGATCTACACTTGGTCAATCAGTCTTAATATCTTTACATAGAGATATAGAAACTGTGATCAGATGGCACTGCTCATGGAGATTTCACAGTACCTCTGTTGTTAAGGCCAGGTGATATTTTGGAGTGCAAAGCTAGCTGCAAGCCAAAGATATGGGAGAGAAAAGCCTGTGTACAAAGAGAAGCAGCTGTTGTACAGAGAGAAGAATAGAGATTTTCAATGAAGAGACACCTTCGAAATCCAAAGAGAGTGACTGGCTTTCTGATGACTCTCTAGTTTATAATGTCTAGCTTTATTTCTTAAAGCTGGGTTCTATAAGAGTCACCTTCAAAGTTGCCCTTTTAACATTAATCTTAGTGAATTCCTCATCCTTGCAAACAAACCAGAGTTTATTGACTGAACAACTGAAATTTTAAAAATCATACTCTCATCTTGTCTTTTGTTTAGTCCACTTATGGAAGGTCCCTTCTATGGTTTCTCTTTTTTTAGAAGATACTGGATTAATGCAGGGTTGTGGCCCTGAAAGCCACTGAGACTTCTGAGTACTGGATACCTACTAAAAATAACTCCCTCTAAATTGCTCCAGGTTCAGATTTCTTAATGTGGAATCATCAAGACAAGTTGATAAACTCTCAATTCCAGAGTGGTCATAATTTCTATGAATTTTTTTTTAAATAGTTTTATAGTGCCATTAGATATTTATTCATGAACCATTTCTAATTAATAGAACAGGATAGATCTTAGTTGCTGCAGATGATAGTTATTTGCAGCACACACATATTTTCTGCTGTATATATGCCTCTATCTACCTGCCTAGACCTGTATCCACCCCCATCCTTTAATTTCTATCCCAGAATGAGCTGCAAAAAAAAAAAAAAAAAAAAAAAAAAACCGAGAGAATCAGCCAAGACTAGTTGTTGAAGATTGGGAACCATTGTTTTACGTGAGGACATGAAAATTCCCCCAGATCCAGCGAACAGATGAAGAGAATTGGAGCAGTATGGCTTGAGAGGAGCATGGTGATATTAAAGAAACAGAATAAAAAGTAAGCAGGAGGAGCCTGCTTGCCTAAGATCACTATACACATTATGCAGTCACCAGCAGAAACATTCTTCAAAACCCCAGGTCAAGAGGGGGTTCCCTTTCACTGGGCTAACTAGGAAACACAAACACAGAAACAAAATAAATTTGCTCTAGTCTTTTAAGGTTAAAGTAGACAACCATGGAATGCATTTGAGTGACTTTGCCCTTGAATATATGGGCTGTTTTTGGTGGGGAAGGGGCCTAAGAAGGTGACACTCTTTATTAGTCTTTCCTTCCCTCCCTTCCTCTCCCCTTCCCTTGCTCCCATTCCTGTCTTCCTTCCTTCCTTCTTTCCTTCTTCCCTTCCTTCCTTCCTTCCTTCCTTTCCTTCTTTCCTTCCTTCCTTCCTTTCCTTCTTTCCTTCTTTCCTTCTTTCCTTCTTTCCTTCTTTCCTTCCTTCCTTCCTTCCTTCCTTCCTTCCTTCCTTCCTTCCTTCCTTCTTTAAGTATTGGCCAAGTCTGTACTTGGAATAAGAAACCATGTTGGACAATAAAAACAAATGTATGAGACCCTACCCTTAAGAAGTTTATCATCTAGCACATGAGACAAACACATTCATAAACAATGACAGTGGATGACATGGTGTGGTGAGTAGCATATAGAGGTCTAAGTAAAGCACTAGAGAATTTTATTTTTTTTTAAGATTTTTTATTTATTCATTTGAGACACAGAGATACAGAGAGAGAGAGAGCATGAGTGGGGGGGAGGCAGAGGGAGAAGGAGAAGCAGGCTCCCCCCTGAGCCAGGAGCCCGGTGTGGGGCTCAATCCCAGGACCCTGGAATCATGAGCCGAAGGCAGACGCTTAACCATCTGAGCCACCCAGGCACCCAGCACTAGAGAATTTTAAAGAAAGTAAACTCACTTCTGGTTGGGCAAGCAGAGAAAGCTTCATGGCATGGATAGCATTTTATCCTGGGCCTTGAAGGCTAAGGATTTCACTAAGCAGAGGAAAGAATAAAATGCTGAGACATGTGAGGTAAGAGAGTATTAATGTTCCTGAAGAATGTCTAGGGAAGGGAGCAAAACATACTTTGTTAGGGAGAATTGGAAGAGAAGCCTAAAAGATTGACGGGGAGACAGGAGGGGTCAACTCATTTTGCATCTGGCACCACAAACTAAGACCTTACACATAGTGGGCCTGGTTGTGACACTTCCCTTGTCCACTGTGGTTATGCAAAAGAAGGGTGCTGTTTCACCTGGGCTGCACTGGTTCCTTTCCTGACCCTCTCCACAAATTAAGTCCTGCTCTGTATATGACTTAGTTTACGATTTATTCACAAATTTGCCAAATTTAGCACACACTTCCTGAGCACCTAAAACATTTTACAATCAGTTTGTCCTATGGATACTGAAGGTCTTGATTTCCACTTTCTAAGGGCATGGACCTTCACATGTGATTTCCTTGAAACGAACACCAGAGCTGGCGTGAAGCAGTTAAGTAAGGAAAATGCTTTGTGAATGAGAACAATGGAATGGTGGAGAGGTGATCATTAGCCTTGCTTCTGTTTAAGAATCTCTTGCATTAAAGGCAGCCCTGCCAGTGCCTGAAGCCACAGAGAGGAAACCATAGAAAATGCACCCCTCTCTGCCAGACAGTGAAGGCAGAAAAGTCCCTGTTGTGGCTGATCCGCCAGTAAACTTCAGCTTTTCAAGACTGAGATATCCTGAGACAAATAAACCATTTATTGGCATAAAAACCAGTGGAATATTAGACTTTCTTTTTAACTCCTGTGTTCATTCTAAGAATCCCCCACTCTTTGGTATTGTATTAATACTTCAAATTAATATTAAGTGATAATTTTGTTTATACATGTCTTAGTGAGACTAAGACATATTTAAACCTTTTAGATTCCATGTTCTAATTCCAAATCTTCATTTAATGTGATTTCCCTTAGGGCTTATGGTGTCTCCATTAATATATGCCCTTTGGTTCAGTTGAATACACATGTAATTTTAAGCTGTATTATTTTACTGTGGGATACATGGTAGGGGTTGAAAGTAGAAATATAAGACATCAGCCTGACCTTGAGGAACGTCTTGTGAGAGCTGGGAAAAGTTAGAGAGACATAAACACATAAATACAATTACAGGTAATAAGTGCTGAGTTAACATTGTGTGCTTTGGTAAAGGTATGGAAGGGACAGTTGGCCCAACCTGAAGGTTTAGGAATGCCTCCCTAGCAGAGGGGACACAACCTCTTGTTAATTCACCGGTCAGCAGAGTGAGAGCCCACCAGACTCTAGGCACCAGGAGAGGATCAGGAGTTGGGCTAACTCCGACAGGACAGCACCAGCGGAAAGGAGCACTGACGGCTAACTGGGAGCAGAGAAGAGCCAAGTCTACCCCAGGCTGTGCAAGGCTGGCGTCAGCTGCCAATGGGGCTATCTCAAGGGTATGAGGAAGGCCTCTTACCTGCTCTGTTCAAATGCCTGTCTCACATGCCTATGGGGCTCACACTTATTTTAATGGAGCAACAGACCCTCTTTTCAACAATTAGTAAGAAGATGTTGAAGATTATGAAATGGTGAGCATGGACCTTGAGTGGAGGTGGCATTCCATGTGTAAAAAGTACCCAGGATTTGCTGACAGTCTATTCTATCCAAAGTGGAGACTTTTAAAAGTGTTTGTTCTTCCACTTTTACACAAAAGAAATGATCTCAACCTTTCTCAAAAAAAAAAAATAAAGATTATTGAATAGAAATGAGGCTGGAACAGTTTAAAAGTATTAGTTGCAATATCAACTCTAAGGAACACTGTGTAGCGTCTTGTCCTTCTTCCCTAGGATAATATGCTTCAGGGTCACTCCACCTATCTGACCATGGTTTAGTTTTGAGAGGACAAAGCAGGTCATGCTGTTCTGCTTTGACAAGTCAAGTTAGATAGTTTTTTAAAACATCATTTATTTGTATTTAACTTTTCAATTTCTCATCCATAAATCACCTTCTATTTAGAAGTCCCCTTAGGTGGATCTTTATTTCAAATAAGCTGCTCCCACAAGCTAATGCCAATTTCAATTCCCAAACCAGTTAGGAATAATGGAAGGCAACACAGAGAGATTCCTGGCCCTCCTTGTCCTCAGGCTGAAGAACTTTGCTATTAATTGTCTGCGAATCTAAACCCCCCTGGGTCATATGGGTTAACAAATATATTCATAAATGACACTGTGTCTTCTAAAAGGTAGATACTAACTTTTTTCCAGTGATTTCATTATTAAAAGTCTACACACATGCACATATATATACACACGTACACAACATGTACAAGTTTGGTAATATACAGAAAAGTCTAGAAATCTCTAATTTAATGCTAATAAACCCTGCAGTGGCTAGTACAATGTGAGATCCCCTCAAATAGTGTACTGGATTAAATAGTGTCCCCCAAATATTCATGTTCAAACAGAACTTCAGAATGTGACCTATTTGAAAACAGGCTCTTTGCAGATGTAAAGTGGAGTGAGCCCTAGTCTAATGACCAATGTCCGTATAAGAAGAGGAGAAGTGACACAGAGACACATACATAAAGGAAAAGCACAGCCATGTGACAGCAGAGGCAAACACTGGAGTGATGCAGCTATACACCAAAGCACACCCAAGACTGCGGGCAACCACCCAACCACCAGACGCGCTAGAAGAGACAGGGAAAGATCATTCCCCAGAGACTTGAGAGGGAGCGTGACCTTGCTGATACCAGAGTTTCAGACTTCTGGCCTCCAGGACTATGAGAGAATAAATTTCTCTTGTTTTAAGCTACCAAACTCATGGTGATTTGTTATGGCAGTCATAGGAAACTAATACAAATAGTAAATAAGAATATTTACTTCATTTCATAGTCAGGGGAATGCTTGTCTGCTTTAAAAACAAATTTTGCTTGCTCCAAACCTCAAATAGCCAAACTTTATGTGTAAGTGGTAGAAATTCAGTGGTGTGTACTCTATCTACATTAAATGTACAAAAAGTAGAAAAATAAAATCTTCAGGTATAGAAATAAAATAAAACCATAAGGATGTGGGTGTTGAAGAGGAGAAAAGAAAAAAAAAGAAAAGGAGATGCGGATCCTCACGGGAAGCATCTGTGATCACAAAAGCATCTTCTTCCTGTAGCTGTGCTTTATATTTCACTTTTTCCCGCTTAACTTATAAAAGGAATGAACACTTGGTGGTCTTTTTCTCTGTCCTAATTCAGCTGTGCTGTAAATTCTTGCCCCATAAGGAAGCATCAAGGAGCATACTGAGATTTTCTTTCCTTTTCCCCTGTGATGTATATACTTGAGCATTTCTGCTGCCTACACCCCCAAACTCATTAGCCGTCATAAATGCACCCAGCACCCCACCTTGGCCAGCTCCCTGTCAGGTCTGAGAAGAGGATAGGCAGTCCAGAAAGAGGTCTGTCCGGCTCCTATGTGCAGCGTGGGTCTCCTTTCCTATCAGAGGGGCCATCCAGACTCACACCTGCCTTACAGTAAGTTGTCCTTGCCCTTTCACATGCAGAGAAAAGGCGCTCATAGCACAGAAGCAACCACCAACAGTCTGAGTGGTCTTCTATTGTAGAAAGGAACCTGCTGTGCCCGAGTTCTATTCCTGGGGCCACTACTCTTCTGCTTCTTTAAGAGCTAAAAAGGCAGGATCTGCCTTATCTCTTCAGACCCACGGATAGGAAGGAATGATTTTTGCAACTTACTTTCCTCATCAGGGTATTGTGTGAATGAGTATTGGCTCCCATTGCTTCAGGACCTATTACTATGTGCAAAACATCAAATATTAACATTCACTATGTTAGGACAGTGCATATCTATTATATTACCTTTGGTCACTTAACGTATTTTGTAATCAAAATTTTTCAGCTCTTCTGATGTAAGGAATAAAATACAGCCTCCCCTCTGCCCCAAAGATGGGTGTGTGCTGTGGGTGGGAGAGGCTGGGAGGGGATGCCCAGTCGTCTTCATCACGACTTGTCACTTAGCCAGTGGGGGGTTCTGTGTTATGCTAAGTTCAGAGAAAGCACTAGGAGAAGGAAAAATATTTCCAGCTGGGCCAATTAGCTCATGCTAGCAGCAGAATTTGAATGGGAACTTAAAGGAAGAGGAAGAACAGTAGAGTAAGGAAGGGCATTCTTGAGTGAATAGCACATTCCAAGGGACAGAAGCAAATGGAACAGAACTTGTTCTGGCAATAATAGATGGTCTAGGGCGCCTGGGTGACTCAGTTGGTTAAGCGACTGCCTTCGGCTCAGGTCATGATCCTGAAGTCCCAGGATTGAGTCCCGCATGGGGCTCCCTGCTCAGCAGGGAGTCTGCTTCTCCCTCTGACCCTCTCCCCTCTCATGTGCTCTCTCTCTCTCTCAAATAAATAAATAAAATCTTTTAAAAAAATAATAGATGGTCTAATTTCACTAAGATCTTGCAAGAGGACAATTAAAAAACAAATTGGAAGGGGGTAATGGAGTCAAATTCTTCAATGGAAAGATCATATATTGTTTTTGGTTTATGGTATTCAACAGAGATTAATGAAGATTTTTGAACAGGGAAAAGATGCAATTAAAATACTGCCTTAGGAATAAGGGAACAATGTTTTCCCCATATTTTTTTCTTGAAAAAATTTAGGACAAAACTATACAACAAAATACTAAGGAATTTACTCTTCAAAAAGAGCAAAAGAAAAATGAAAGAAAAGATAAGCTAAAGTCAGAATGATGTTTGTAAATGTCAAGAGTCAGATTAGCTAGATGCTGCCCTCTTAGCACAGAGTCAAATTAGCTAGAAAGTGGTGAGCAGGGAGGACCGGAGAAGGAGGAATCCAGACAGTCCAGAGACTACCGCAGTAATCTGGTAGAGAACACAACTGGAGTAGAGGGAGTGAGAACAGTAAAGAAGGGATGAGTTAAACAGGTACTCTGAGAAGGAACTGACTCAATTTAAGATCTCAAAAGGTAGAAAAGAGGGAGAGCCTACTGTGGTTCCCACTGCTCCTTCTCCGTTAGGGTCACCCCCAGTCATCCCTGGCCAGTGGTTTTTAGTGCCATGCATTTAGGATTTTTACTTGAATTGGTTCATTATTTTCTGTTCTACTTTTTGCTTAGTAATTAAAGATGTAATTGTTTTGACATCTCCAAATCTGTATGCCTGCATTTTCCAGTGTCATTTTTGTCTATATATATATATATATTTTTTTTTTTTTGCCTTATTTCCTATTGATTATCTATTTGGAAAGAAGGCTGAAGGGTCCCAACATTGAGGATTCAAAATTTCAAAATAGAGCCTCAAGTTTATTACTCCATGTCCACAATAGATTGGGGTTTTGTGTAGAACCCTGCTCTAATTCAATCCCATTCATGGGTCTGAATCATTTTCCCTGGGGTGAGAACCAAGCAACAATAAGCATCAATGCCTAGCTGGCAAAAGCTGGGAGCTTCTTTGAGAGAGGACTCAGCAAAGGTCTAGAGAGCAAGGCTTAAACCTGGAGGCAATAGGGCCAAGTCAGAAATGGTTGCCAAAGGATAGGGAGTGGGAGGATAAGACTGATGGTGTTTAAGAGTACAAACTTGCAAGGAGTAGTAAATAGGCCATAGACATCTAATGCACAGTGTAATGAATATAGGCAATACTGTACTATAATTATAATTATATAATGTGTAAATATTGCTACAAAGGCAATGATATTATAAGATATGAATGTATCAAAATAACACATTGTATACCTTAAATTTACACAATGTTGTATGTCATGGAGTTCAAGGGAAAGCCCAAGTTATCTAGATTTTAACCTTTGTCTCTCTTGGGTTCTATTCTGAGAGTTCTCGCTAAAATTCTTCTTGCTTAATTCCCTTATGAAATTGTTATAACTATAACTGTTATAATTATAACTATAATTTTAAGTAATGTAAAGAAACCAACATTTAAACAAATATTCCCATGACTGATGTAAAATTCTCCAGTATTAAACATCTGATCCTTTTGTGACATACAGCACATTGAAATAATAAGAAATTGTAAGATAAGATTCCTTTACAATGTTTAGCAATAGATTATTTATTCAAGCAATCAATGAGTGAAGATGATATGGAATACTGAATAAATGACACAAAAACACACATGCACCTAAAATACACATACACTCACACACACCCAGCATTATCCACATTGCAACACACTCTTTGAAGTACTACAGGGACCAGCACTACCTTTCACAGGTGAAGACGGACTCAGATGCAGTGCCAGGTTCTCTGACCACGACCTTCTCACAATACCAGTACTGGGATTCCTCACTGGCCTCGCAGCGCAACAGCACCTTCTGCAGTTTTCCAAGTGACACTGCTTCCACTTGAAATGTATCGGTCTGGTGCAGGAGACAGAGACAAACCCCACAGAAATAACAGGAGTCCAGCACATGACAAATGCAGGCAATAATAATAGCCCAATACTTTAAAAGAGATAATGTTACTACAGTTAGCATCAAAAGGGGTAAGAAGGAAAGAAAAATAAGCAAATTACTTTGATCTATTCAAAATACATCTCTGTGCTTTTTTCTCTTGGAGTTTTATTTTCTCCGTTTATAACAGTATCCAGTGTAAGAAATAAACCCTAATACAAAGGCTTCCAGTTTGTGGCTTTTCTCTCACTCAGATTCCTGCTCCTGTGACAAAGTTTAGTAGGTGGACAGGTTGAAAACCATGAGCCCTAATATGCAAAATATTTAGTTTCCATGGATATTGATATATTTTGAGGCACGTAGGAACAAATTTTTCCTTCTTTCCTCCCTCCTTCCCTCCTTCCTTCCTTTCTCCTATGCTTCAGGAATACACACCACCTGTTGTAGCAGATGTGCTTGATGCCCCACCCCTGTCTTCTAGGTCCCTTTCAGAATTCACCTCCTGCTTTTGTAGATAATTTAGGCATGCTGAAGGCTTTCTGTCTCAACCTTCTAGGTCTCACTGCCTCTTTGTCTGAGGGCTTCCCTCTTGTGGGAGAGTTTTGAGGGGTGTTCTGCTGGGTTTCTTAAGGTTCCTAGCAAGAAGGAGTTCCAGCTCCTTAATGTCCCTATATTGCTTTTCTCCCTTTCCTGACTCATTTTCCCAACTCCTTCACTCCAAAGGTAGTTACTGGGATCAACTCCCAAATAAATTACTTGTATCCCGGTCTTTGTCTTATGGTCTGCTTTGAAGCAAATCCAAACTACGATACTTCAAGGTCCAGAAAGATTGCCTAAATCAGCTTCCTGGTTACTTCTTATTTCTTCAAGTAACCTTAGTTTGGAAAATAGAATTAAATTAGGTCTATTACATATGATACTGCATTTTGATTATACCACTGGACACTCTGTAGGGAAAAATGACAATAAAAGCTGAATCAGTGGTTAAGGATGTGAGCTGTGGCTGGTGTAAAATCATTTTGGTAATAAACTAAAAGGTTGTTATCACAATTTCGCAACTGCAAAACTCTTGAAATCATTTTGCATTCCCATTATATTCCATGCATTGAGGAAAATAATAGAAAAATCTGAAATGAGCCAGGGAAGAAAAATACTTTTGTATCTCTGATTCTGAACCTCAAAACATACCAGTAAACCCACATTTTTACTCCTGTCTATACATTGATTGCAATTATACCTCCTGCCCAATTTAATTTCATCTATAATGCACCCTCCCCATTCTCTGGTAAATACTATACACTGTAATGAACTGAAGATTAACCATGAAGATGACTTGTGAAATCTTAGCATGTAACCTCACATGATGCTACACACCAATAGACCAACTAGCAGACAACCAGCAAAGATGGAGCCTCCACCATCAGATATATCACAAAATGTCAGGGTGAATGAATCTGGGACTGAAGGAAAGCTAGGAGGATTCCTTAGGGGATAACATCACTGATCACTTGGTGTAATAATAGTAATAAGATTATGACATATAAAACTCACTCAAAATTTCTACTCAAAATTAATTCACTTGTGATGACAAAAACTAGGCACAATTTTGCTTATTCCCTTATCCAAAGCAGACCCAGCTTTCTTCTTCATTCTGATGAAAGCATCTATGTAATCTGCTGTGACAATACAAGCTTAGGTGGCCTTTAAGATCTGTCTCAAAATAATTCATGAACTCCAACTACAAGAAAATTTGAGAAATAGCACTCTCAAACTGGTTTGAGAGCTTTCTTTCTTAAAAATATATCCTAGGGTTACATAATCCTTATTTTTAGTTACAGACCCCAAATAGTATTTTCTTTCTATATATAACAAAATAACATTAAAAATTAACTGGGTTGGGCGCCTGGATGTCTCAGTTGGTTAAGCGACTGCCTTCGGCTCAGGTCATGATCCTGGAGTCCCGGGATCGAGTCCCGCATCGGGCTCCCTGCTCGGCAGGGAGTCTGCTTCTCCCTCTGACCCTCCTCCCTCTCATGCTCTCTGTCTCTCATTCTCTCTCTCTCAAATAAATAAATAAAATCTTTAAAAAAAAAAATTAACTGGGTTGATCATATATCTCACTGCCACTCCTCAAACATCTAATATATAGAAGACTCATGCATACACACACACACACACAGGACAAAAGAGGAATAATGAAGGGCTTAAGGTGTGAAAATAATTTAGTTGGTTCCATTCAAGACGTTTTAAAGAAAGGCTACTGTGTTCCTATGTGAAATATACTATTATGGCCCTTCTATGACCTGACCTTTTAGAATAATACTTTGTACTTTTCAGTCCTAACAGGGTATGTTCATATATATTTTTCCCTGATATCATCTCATTTTTTCTTATACTATCACTAATTTTTAATGTAATTTTTATTTGTTCTATTATTCACTGCTAGTAGAGTGTGTCCCATTTTTCTTTCAAGAACTTCTAAAACAAAGGATATTAGGAAGTCTGGTCAGGAAATCCTGTGTTAAAGATGTCTTAAAACGAAAACTTGAAGGCTGTGAAGCACTTTTCAGTTTTCAATTACAAGTGTTCACCTTCAGGGTAATTGCTAAACACAATGGGAAGGTTATTTGTGTGGACTCACCTGTCCTCTTCGAAATTTTACTGGCATGTTAGATTTGTCCAGTAGTCTAAGACCAGAGTCTCCCCTCTCTCCACAGAGACACAGGGAAACTTCAGACTCTGTTTCTGCTCGCTTCAATTGCCCAGTATGGACATCAACATGGTATCTCACTACTGGCAAAGCAAAGGGCAGAGAAACAAAAGAAAATTCATTACCTGGGAATTCGTACAAACAGAACCCAGATCCATGGGTTAAGCTACAGTAAAAAGCAGTTTATGAGAATTCCTCTAATCTGGACTTTCTATAACTATTGAGAGATTTTTAACTTTTTTTTTTTTATTATTATTAACTTTAATTGTGAATGGGCATTTTTCTACCATGAGCTAGTGCCTTGAAGACTTGTAGCTTTTTCAAAAAGAGGAATAGAAGAATTTTTTAAAAGGTTATTCTTGGGGCTCCTGGGTGGCACAGTTGGTCTGACTCTTGATTTTGCCTCAGAATGTGATCTCAGGGTGTTGAGATGGAGCCCCATGTTGAGCTCCACACTCAGCACAGAGTCTGCTTAACACTCTCTCTCTCTCTCTCTGCCCCCTCCCCTGCTCTTTCTCCCTCTCTCTCTGTCTCTCAAATAAATAAATAAATCTTTTTTTTATGTTATGTTAGTCACCATACAATATATCATTAGTTTTTGATGTAGTGTTCCATGATTCATTGTTTGTGTATAACACCCAGTGCTCCATGCAATATGTGCCCTCCTTAATACCCATCACCGGGCTAAACCATCCCCCACCCCCTCCCCTCTAAAACCTTCAGATTGTTTCTCGGAGTCCATAGTCTCTCATGGTTCATCTCCTCCTCTGATTTCCCCCTCTTCATTTTTCCCTTCCATCTCCTAATGTCCTTCATGCTATTCCTTATGTTCCACAAATAAGTAAAACCATATGATAATTGACTTCCTCTGCTTGACTTATTTCACTTAGCATAATCTCCTCCAGTCCCATCCATGTTGATGTAAAAGTTGGGTATTCATCCTTTCTGATGGCTGAGTAATATTCCATTGTATAAATGGACCACATCTTCTTTATCCATTTGTCTATTGAAGGGCATCTCCGCTCTTTCCAGTTTGGCTATTGTGGACATTGCTGCTGTGAACATTGGGGTGCTTGTGGCCTTTCTTTTCACTACATCTGTGTTTTGGGGTTAAATGCCCAGGAGTGCAATTGCTGAGTCATAGCTCTATTTTTAACTTTTTGAGGCACCTCCACACTGTTTTCCAAAGTGGCTGTACCAACTTGCATTCCCACCAACAGTATAAGAGGGTTCCCCTTTCTCCAAACCTCTCCAACATTTGCTGTTTTCTGCCTTGTTAATTTTTGCCATTCTAACTGGTATAAGGTGGTATCTCAAATAAATCTTTAAAAAAAAAAAGCCTGTTCTATGTATGACATAGGAGGACATTCCATGCTTAGTATTTTAGTGGCAAGGGTGGCAATGTTATTGTACATAAAATGCTTAAAGTTTAAACTGATGTGTTAATGAGGAAATACATCCAAAATGAGGTGATGGCATGAGGTGGCCAACTGGCCCCAGGCAGAGCCAGATGAGGCCCAGACCTGACATTATGTCTTTCTCATAGCCTCAGCCCCTGAGACTATAGCTGAACTGTAGCTGTACCATAGGAACCTCTTTGAGATTACACTTAATCCCAGCTCCACCAGTGAACCATGCTGTGAAACAGAACAAGTCACTTCTCAATGGGTAAACAACCCTCTTAGAAGTAGAAAAAATAGGGGCGCCTGGGCAGCTCAGTCAGTTAGGCATCTGCCTTCAGCTCAGGTCATGATCCCAGGGTCCTGAGATGAGAGATCGAGCCCCAAGTCCGGCTCTCTGCTCAGTGGGGAATCTGGTTCTCCCTCTGCCCCTCCCCCTCCCTGCTCAGGCATGTGCGTGCTCTCTCTTTCTCTCTAATAAATAAATAAAATCTTTAAAAAATGAATAAATAATAAAAAAGAAGTAGAAAAAATATTCTGTAACTAAATAGTTCAGGAGTAAATTTAAGCAACTATAAAACAATTTGTGTACACAATATATGGTACTAAAAATTAATAACACACATGGAAAAATGGCTTGTCCTTGTTGTACTACAGGAAGCTCACAGACAACATCCCCCTCAGCATGCATTTGAGAGAACCATGCATTTGCTGCAAAATCTAGGGTCTTCTTGCTCTTCATGTGTTGGATGGTCACCTGGATTTAGAAGAAACAGTGACCAAATTGTGTGATTTCCAATTCTCATAGAACTTCAAAATGCACCCCAGGAATTGCTAAAATGGACTTCATACTCTGACATTTGTTGTTGGTAGTAGTAGTAGTAGTAGTAGTAGTAGTAGTAGTAGTAGTAGGGGCTGTTGCTTATTATTTGACAGTTATTATGCTAAGTGATTTGTTTTATTTTTTATTTATATATTTTTTAAAGATTTTATTTATTTGACAGAGAGAGCACAAGCAGAAGGAGAGAGGGAGAAGCAGACTCCCTGCTGGGCAAGGAGCCCGATGTGGGACTCGATCCCAGGACCCTGGGATCATGACCCGGGCCAAAGGCAGCCACTTAACCGACTGAGCCACCCAGGTGTCCCTAAGTGATTTGTTTTAATTAACTCTTTTAACCATCACCAATTATATTGTAAAAATTTTATAATTTTATAGATAAGAAAATGGAGTCTTGGAGATTTAAAATGGAATCCATCTGATTCAAAGCCCTCAATTTCACTGTAGCAGTTGCTAAAGAAGCAATCTATAGGAAGAGCTCCAAAAGAGATTTTGCGTTCATTTTAGTCACCAAAGCAGGCACACCCCAGAATTTTGAAAAATTGCTAATGTTTTTTAAATGCATTTCAATAGCCGTAGGCTGTGACTAACCGTCAGCTGCCACAGTCAAAGTGCCTCACTTCCCAGCAGGCAGCGGCGAGCTGCCTCTGCCTCCCAGCCTGTTGAACTCTCAACAAACTCCTCACTGCCTCTTGCTCTTTGGTGGCCATTTCACAAGAAGGTTCTCTTTGCTTTATCTTCCCCTTAACATCTCAGCAAAAGACTTCCAGAAGGAATGTCACAATTGCCTGCCTTTCCTCCAATCACAGTGTATGAACTGCCCCCCTCCTTTGAAGATGCTAGTTCATCTTCTAAATAAGTCTCCGGCCTCCTGAATTTCCTCTCCCTCCTAGCCTTGGGAGCAGGCCCCACCATTTCCCAGGTGGCTTATCCTCACATAACCTGATGGCTGCCATTTTGGCTCCCTTCAAACCCTGCTTTTCAACTGTTTCAACAGAAAGCATTCTAAAATGGAAATCTGATCATTGTGTATACTGCTCGCAACTTTTTCAGTAGTCCTACCTATAGCATAAGATCCCAAATCCTCAGCACGATGAGCAATTCATAATCAGGCCCTGCCGAAGAATTCGCCCTCAAATCCCAAATCCAGTCATACTGATCTGTTATGGTTCCACAACTAGCCACATTCCTTCTCACCCCAGAGTTTCTGTGCACACTTTTATCTCTACATAGAACAGCTTTCATCTGACTCATTACCCGCTGAATCTGCCTATCCTGCATTACATGGCTCAGATAGAACCTCTTCTGAGAAGGCTTCTGTGAGTCTCTGGTCTGGGTTAGGTAACCCTATATTGTGATGCATGGCAACCTACCCATTCATGACTATCACTTAACACCTAATATTTGGCTGACTTGATGGAAGGGACCATGTCCTATTCATCTTGGTTCTTCCACAAGCTCTCACAAGGCAATCCTCAGGTTGTTTTTTGAATGAATGATTAAATAAACAACTAAGTGAAATGGGTATATGTCAACATAAGTAATAAAACTAAATCAGTACATCTGTCACTAATGCCTGATTCTGTCTTTACTGCTCAAGGCAAGATGCCATGAAAAGAATGCTGGATTTGGAGACAGAAAAACTGGGACCAAAATCTAGATCTACCATTTTACAACTCATTTACCATTTCTCATTTGACTATGAGAAATTTATGTAACCACTTTATTATTTTTTTCATCCATGAAATAGCTCACATGGTTGTTGTGAAGATTAAATTATGTCTAAGAAATGTGCAAAACTTTTTACAAGCTGCACAAATAAGTCATAGCCTACATTAGCCAACTTTATATACGAATATATCAATAAATATAAAAGTGATTAATAGAAAGATGGCAGAGGAGTAGGAGACCTGGATTTCGTCTCCTCTCAGGAATTCAGCTGGATAGGGATTAAACCATTCTGAACACCTACAAATCCAACAGGAGATCGAAGAAAGGAACAGCAACAGAAGAAAGGAATAGCAACAACTCTCTCATCAGAAAAGCGACCACCTTCTGGAGGTAGGACGTGCGGAGAAGTGAATCTGAGGCGATATTCAGGATAGACGGCGGGGGAGGGGCCTCCGTTGGCCGCTTCTGGCAACCACGGAGCACAAAATCGGAACTTTTAAAAGTCTGCTCCGCCGAGGGACGTCACTCTGGTGGCTAAGCGGGGGGTGGAACCCTCCGGGACAGTGTGGTCTCAGGACCCTCGGGGTCACAGAAAGACCGGTGGTGCCTGAGTGTGGCAGAGCTCCCAGGTAATGTAGCAGGGAAGCCGGCTGCAGAGGCGGAGCCCAGGCGTGGGCTCTCAGCTCGGGGTTGCCATAAACCGTGATCCGCGGCACATTGGGGCCCCTGCTCCTCCAGCAGAGACCCAACAAGCGGCAGATCCGGGGAGACTCACCTTCCTCCCCCGGGAGGAGTGGTATGGGAGTGCACCGCAGGGATCTGCTGGGTTTGGAGACTCCACCCGGGGTCAGGTGCCAGAGATAGAAACGTGCGGTCACAGGCCGGGCGAGCACGGAGTGCGGCCGGAGACCGGGGAGCCGGGAGTGACTGATGGCTTTTCTCTGGGGGCTCACTGAGAAGCGAGGCCCCGAGTTCTTGATCCTCCAGGGTGGAGATTGGGAGGCCGCCATTTTCACTCTCCGCCTCCAAAGCTGTACGGAAAGATCGCAGGGAACAAAAGCCCCGGAGAGCAAACCCGAGCAGATTACTTAGCCCAGACCGGGCAAGGGTGGGGCAATTCTGCCTCCGGCAGAGACATTTGGAAACCACAGCAACAGGCCCCTCCCCAGAAGATCAGCGAGAACAGCCAGCCAAGACCAAGTTTACCGATCAATGAGAACGGCAGAACTCCAGCGCTAGGGGAATACTGCACATAGAAATCATGGTTTTTTTACCATGATTCTTTACTCTTTCAAAGTTAATTTTTTTTTAACTGTCTTTTTTTCTTTTTTTTTCTTTTTGAATTTTTCTTTTTCCCTTTTTCAACCAACATCTTATCAATCCCTTTTTAAAAAAAAAACATTTTTATTTTTCATTTTTAGAGTCATATTCTATCCCTTCATAGTAGTTACCCGTATTTTTGGCTTATATATATAAGTTGTTCTCTCTTTAAAATTTTGAGATAGTTTCTTCTAACAGATTAAAATATGCCCTAAATCTCTAGTATATGGTGTTTTCTATTCCCCTGCCTGATCACATCCTCTCCCTTTTTTTTTCTTTTTTCTCTTTTTAAATCCTCTTCTTTCTTTTTTCAAACAACTTCTTATCAATTCCTTTTATAAAATTTTTTATAATTTCCATCTTTACAGTCATATTCCATTGCTTCATCATATCAACCCTTATTTTTGTACATATATAAGTTTTTCTTTCTTTAAAATTTTGGGAGGCACTTTCTTCTAAAAGACCAAAATACACCCCAAATCTAGTGTGTGGCATTGATCTATATACCAGCCTGATCATATTTGATCACATTCTGGTTTATTTTGTTTGTTTGTTGTTGTTGTTTTGTTTTGTTTGTTTTTGTTTTTATCTTTATCTTTTTCTTTTTTTCCTTTCTCTTTTTTCTCTCTTTCCCTTTCTTTTCCCACTGCTTCAGGTCTTTTCTGATTTGTTTAGAGTATATTTTCTGGGGATGTTGTTACTCTGCTAGCATTTTGTTCTCTCATTAATCTATTCTCCTCTGCACAAAATGACAAGACAGAAAAAATCACCTCAACAAAAAGAACAAGAGGTAGTACCGACTGCCAGGGACCTACTCAATACGGACGTTAGTATGATGTCAGATCTAGAGTTCAGAATCATCACTTTAAAGATACTAGCTGGGCTTGAAAAAAATATGGAAGTTATTAGAGAAACCCTTTCTGGAGAAGTAAAAGAACTAAAATCTAACCACATTGAAATCAAAAAGGCTATTAATGAGGTGCAATCAAAAATGGGGACGCTAACTGCTAGAATAAATGAGGCAGAAGAGAGAATCACTAATATAGAAGATGAAATGATGGAAAATAAAGAAGCTGAGAAAAAGAGAGATAAACAACTACTGGATCACGAGGGCAGAATTCGAGAGATAAGTGATACCATAAGACGAAACAACATTAGAATAATTGGGATCCCAGAAGAAGAAGAAAGAGAGAGAGGAGCAGAAGGTATAATGGAGCAAATTATAGCAGAGAACTTCCCTAATTTGGGGAAGGAAACAGGCATCAAAATCCAGGAAGCACAGAGAACGCCTCTCAAAATCAATAAAAATAGGTCAACACCCCAACATCTAATAGTAAAACTTATGAGTCTCATAGACAAAGAGAAAATCCTGAAAGCAGCTCGGGAGAAGAGATATGTAACCTACAGGGGTAGAAACATTAGATTGGCAACAGACCTATCCACAGAGACCTGGCAGGCCAGAAAGGACTGGCAGGATATATTCAGAGCACTAAATGAGAAAAATATGCAGCCAAGAATACTATATCCAGCTAGGCTGTCATTGAAAATTGAAGGAGAGATAAAAAGCTTCCAGGACAAACAAAAACTAAAGGAATTTACAAACACAAAACCAGCCCTACAGGAAATCCTGAAAGGGGTCCTCTAAGCAAAGAGAGACCCTAAAAGCAACATAGACCAGAAAGGAACACAGACAATATACGGTAATAGTCACCTTACAGGCAATACAATGGCACTAAATTCCTATCTTTCAATAGTTACCCTGAATGTAAATGGGCTAAATGCCCCAATCAAAAGACACAGGCTATCAGACTGGATTAAAAAACAAGACCCATCAAAATGCTGTCTGCAAGAGACTCATTTTAGAACCAAAGACACCCCCAGATTGAAAGTGAGGGGGTGGAAAACCATTTACCATGCTAGTGGACACCAAAAGAAAGCTGGGGTGGCAATCCTTATATCAAACAAATTAGATTTTAAACCAAACACTGTAATAAGAGATGAGGAAGGACATTATATCCTACTTAAAGGGTCTATCCAACAAGAAGATCTAACAATTGTAAATACCTATGCCCCTAACATGGGAGCAGCCAATTATATAAGGCAATTAATAACAAAAGCAAAGAAACACATCGACAACAATACAATAATAGTGGGGGACTTTAACACCCCCCTCACTGAAATGGACAGATCGTCTAAGCAAAAGATCAACAAGGAAATAAAGACTTTAAATGACACACTGGACCAAATGGACTTCGCAGACATATTCAGAACATTCCATCCCAAAGCAATGGAATACACATTCTTCTCTAGTGCCCATGGAACATTCTCCAGAATAGATCACATCCTAGGTCACAAATCAGGTCTCAACCGGTACCAAAAGATTGGGATCATTCCCTGCCTATTTTCAGACCACAATGCTTTGAAACTAGAACTCAATCACAAGAGGAAAGTCAGAAAGAACTCAAATACATGGAGGCTAAAGAGCATCCTACTGAAGAATGAATGGGTCAACCAGGAAATTAAAGAAGAATTAAAAAAATACATGGAAACCAATGAAAATGAAAACACAACTATTCAAAATCTTTGGGATGCAGCAAAGGCAGTCCTAAGAGGAAAGTATATAGCAATACAAGCCTTTCTCAAGAAACAAGAAAGGTCTCAAGTACACAACCTAACCCTCCACCTAAAGGAGCTGGAGAAAGAACAGCAAATAAAGCCTAAACCTAGCAGGAGAAGAGAAATAATAAAGATCAGAGCAGAAATCAATGAAATAGAAACTAAAAGAACAGTAGAACAGATCAACGAAACTAGGAGCTGGGTCTTTGAAAGGATTAACAAGATTGATAAACCCCTGGCCAGACTTATCAAAAAGAGAAGAGAAATGACCCAAATCAACAAAATCATGAATGAAAGAGGAGAGATCACAACCAACACCAAAGAAATACAAACAATTATAAGAACATATTATGAGCACCTCTATGCCAGCAAATTAGATAACCTGGAAGAATTGGAGGCATTCCTAGAGATGTATCAACTACCAAAACTGAACCAGGATGAAATAGAAAACCTGAACAGACCTATAACCACTAAGGAAATTGAAGCAGTCATCAAAAATCTCCCAAAAAACAAAAGCCCGGGGCCAGATGGCTTCCCAGGGGAATTCTACCAAACATTTAAAGAAGAATTAATACCTATTCTTCTGAAACTGTTCCAAAAAATAGAAACGGAAGGAAAACTTCCAAACTCATTTTATGAGGCCAGCATTACCTTGATCCCCAAACCAGACAAAGACCCCATCAAAAAGGAGAATTACAGACCAATATCCCTGATGAACATGCATGTAAAAATTCTCACCAAAATACTAGCCAATAGGATCCAACAGTACATTAAAAGGATTATTCACCATGACCAAGTGGGATTTATCCCTGGGCTGCAAGGTTGGTTCAACATCCGGAAATCAATCAATGTGATATAATACATTAACAAAAGAAAGAACAAGAATCATATAATCCTCTCAATAGATACAGAAAAAGCTTTTGACAAAGTACAGCATCCTTTCTTGATCAAAACTCTTCAGAGTATAGGGATCGAGGGTACATACCTCAATATCAAAAAAGCCATCTGTGAAAAACCTACAGTGAATATCATTCTCAATGGGGGAAAACTGAGAGCTTTCCCCCTAAGGTCAGGAACGCGACAGGGATGTCCACTATCACCACTGCTATTCAACATAGTATTGGAAGTCCTAGCCACAGCAATCAAACAACAAAAAGAAATCAAAGGCATCCAAATTGGCAAAGAAGAAGTCAAACTCTCACTCTTTGCAGATGATATGATACTTTATGTATCATAAGACCAAAAGACTCCACCCCAAAACTGCTAGAACTCATACAGATATTCAGTAAAGTGGCAGGATATAAAATCAATGCACAGATATCAGTGGCATTCCTATACACCAACAACAAGACAGAAGAAAGAGAAATTAAGGAGTCGATCCCATTTACAATTGCACCCAAAACCATAAGATACCTAGGAATAAATCTAACGAAAGAGACAAAGGATCTGTACTCAGAAAACTATAAAATACTCATGAAAGAAATTGAGGAAGACACAAAGAAATGGAAAAATGTTCCATGCTCATGGATTGGAAGAACAAATATTGTGAAGATGTCAATGCTACCTAGAGCAATCTACACATTCAATACAATCCCCATCAAAATACCATCCACTTTTTTCAAAGAAATGGAACAAATAATCCTAAAATTTGTATGGAACCAGAAAAGACCCCGCATAGCCAGAGGAATGTTAAAAAAAAAAGCAAAGCCGGCGGCATCACAATTCCGGACTTCCAGCTCTATTACAAAGCTGTCATCATCAAGACAGCATGGTACTGGCACAAAAACAGACACATAGATCAATGGAACAGAATAGAGAGCCCAGAAATGGACCCTCAACTCTATGGTCAACTCATCTTTGACAAAGCAGGAAAGAATGTCCAATGGAACAAAGACAGTCTCTTCAACAAAAGGTGTTGGGAAAATTGGATAGCCACATGCAGAAGAATGAAACTGGAGCATTTCCTTACACCACACACAAAAATAGACTCCAAATGGTTGAAAGACCTCAATGTGAGACAGGAGTCCATCAAAATCCTAAAGGAGAACACAGGCAGCAACCTCTTCAACCTCAG